CTATGATAGCAATGCAAGAATCTTACATAGTAATTAGACCCTATGAAAATGCAATAGCAATGCGAGGACCTCATGTTGTGATTAGACTTTATTGTTGCTACAGGCAATACAAGAACCTCATGCTTGGCAATTAAGCACCACAACTATGATAGTAGTACAAGGACCTTACATTGTAATTAGACCCATAGCTATGATAGCAATGCAAAAACCTTATGTTGTATTTAGGCTTTGTAATTATCCTAAGCAGTACTTTTGTTGATTAAGCATCACAATTATAATAGCAGTGCAAGGACCTCATACTGTAGTTAGGCTCTATAGCTATGATAACATAAAATTAATCAAAATTTAACTAAAAGAAACTAATAACATACTTACTGAATATGAGTGCTGTCAAAGAAAAACCTACATTGGGCTTTTGAGCATATTTTGTTTATAGTTGGTTATCTGTGTACCATCTATGTAAATTTATGTCCAATGATAAATTTACCATAGATAGTACACAGATAACCAATTGTATACAAAATATACTTGAAAGCCCAACTATAGGTATTTTTTTGATGGCACTCATATAGTTAAATGTATTGAATAGTTTTTAATTTTTTTTTTAGATGCTTTTATATAATCACCCTAAGCAATACCTTATTAAAAAAAGATAATAACAATACTTTTTTGCTAAATTCTATGTAATATTGTTTATACATATTTTATTACAATTTTACAATTTATAAATTAGAATAATGTAAGCCTATAATGCACAGAACAATAGACAAAGACAAGGTGAAAAGTTTAATTTAAAGAGATTCTACGAATAAGTAAATAGAGGTCTATCTGATAGAATTTAAATGGTGCTGATCACTGTAGCTAATTACTGATAATAACTGGCACATATTCAAGATGTGCTATAAAAAAGAAAATAGTATATAAATATTATAAGGTTTAACTAATAAGATATATGAGTGATGAACATAAAGTTTACTATTGTAAATGATGGAAACTACAAACGCTACAAAAAATCAAAGCACTAGAAATGAGTGATGAAAAGGGAAAACCTGTAAACCATTTCACTCATTATTATTGCAGTAATATTTACTCCTAGGGGTATGCGATAATGAGTAAAATGATTTACAGGTTTTCCCTTTTCGTTACTCAAATAGAAATCAAAATCTAATTATAGAAACAGCTATAATCGGGAATAATCGTATATTTTTAGTAATTTCAAAAAATGTTTACACAGCATACATCTAACTATGGAATCAAAAGTCATTGAACTTAAAAATCTAATAAATACAACCCGAAATTTTTTGGGGCTATATCAGATATATTAGAAATATCAAGCTATATCAGACATATCAGATATATCAAGCTATATCAGATTTATCAGATACATCAAGCTATATCAGATTTATCAGATATATCAAGCTATAACAGATATATCAGATATATCAAGTCAAAGATATAATATAAAATTATTTGACGAAATCCTTTCCGTTTTAGCTTAAAAGGAAATGTGGCGGGTCACGAGTAAACTCACAGCCAATAAACATGACGATCTACATCTAGTCTTTTTTGGAAGGCTCGCTTTGACTTCTCTTTTCTATGAATATTGAAAATGATTAAACAAACATGAAGCTCTCATTTTGCTTTACAACATATTTTTTGAATCCATAGTTTCGCCTTTTTGTAAATTTCGCAATTTGATTGGTTGACTAATTCCGTAGTGATATTTTGACTGGTCGTTACAATGAGTGATCTGTGTAATGAGAATGAAAATCATATCTATATTTGGACGTTTCCTCCTGTTATACAGCATGTCGATAAAAAAAGATAGGAAGGGTTGAACAAATAATAAATTTGGAAAAATATATATGCCATTTGGTGCCCTCTAATTGCCAATAAGCACAATATTAAAGCGCTAATAAAGATTAGGGTTAGGGTTCAGAGGGTTTAGGGTAAAATTGCGAGAGGAATATTTTTTTGTTAGTAGCACAACAGGGTTACTTGGTAAAATTTTAAGATATAGAGAGTGTGCATCAAATGCACGATCCACCATATAACAATTTTCAATAAATTCTATTAGATAATTTAGATGTATTAATATAAATTATTTTTTAAATTAAATATTTATTATCTACATTATATAGAATTAGATTTTAAGGCAAATATCTATATTAGCAAATTTGAATTATATCACCAACGATAAGTATTTTAGCATTTTATTTGTTATTTTACTTGTGCCAGTGGTTTAGGATAACAAGTATATCATATCTTAAAAATGTACTAAGTAAAATATGGTCAGGGTTCTAAGTAAAAATGGTCAAATCCTCTGATAACCGAGATCGAGACATTATATCCAATCTATATTCAGGGACGATGACTTACTGTGGTAATAAATTGCCAATTCTGTCTGTGATAAATTGTTTGATTCCATTTTTGATAAAATCAAATTCTGCAAAATTCTGCGTTGGATACAATAGAAACCACGAACATTCTGTATCAAATTATTAGCCTATAATCAGATTATTTGGTTACCAATCAAAAATTTTAACTCAACCACGCTCACCTTTTAAGATCATTTACTTTCCATGGCGAGATTTTTTTGGATTTTATATTTTTGTGACTGTGTACTTATAAATCTCTACTTTCTGTGAATTTCCGTACTATATATCCCTACATAATTGCGACAATTCAATGCCACTTTTGACGGATTCCGTGATTTTTATACTGTTACACGAAAAAAAATGGTTTGCCTGGAATCTAAAAACCATTTAACAAATCAACCAAACAATCCAACACAACCAAGATAACCTATTGAAAGAGACGTTTAGATTTGGCGAATGGAAAGTTCTAAGGCTTCGGCAATCTTTAAACACGTATCACGTGTCAATCACTGATATAACAATACTAAACCACAATAAGACACTTTCGTGGGGTAATCACGTAAACAAAATGGTCAGGTGGACAAGAATAATTCTACTACAGAACTTAGTAAAATATCGGGAAATGGGTCATTAGGGAAGTAACTAATTGTGAATTCAACAGCTAACTGATACTTTTAGGGGGTGAAAGGCCCTTTATTTATAGACAAATTTACATATGGCGAAATAAACATGATTTAAGAGATTAATTTACTAAAGCTAACTTATGTAACTAGTCAGATAATTGTTAAAAGTCCCTTAAGTCGACTAAGTTGCTTAAGTGCCATTAATGCATTATCTTTAAGAAATGCGATAAGTGCGATAAGTGTAATAAATGCAGGTGAGTTAGTCATGGCAGAAAAATGTCGGTAACGTGATCTCGACCCTGTCATGTGGTAATAAAGATTATCTAAGATACAAATTTTTTTATTTCTTAATTTTTTTATTAATATACTGTACATATACAAGTTCGCTTTATAATCACAGTCAGATCACTCTATAGTCACCTCCTATATAAGCACATTTTCTTTATATGCATATTTTTTAAAAAACAAACTATTATTAAAGATAATAAATTTGACTTCTATAACTGTCACACTTAGTGATGTGCCGCGTACAGTACTATACGTACTGTATGGTACGTACTAATGATGCCTGACGAATGACGAAAGGGTTTCGTCAGGCAACTTCGAATTGACGAATGACGAAACTCATGAAGCATAAATTTTTTATGATAAATGTAAAAAAATCAAAAAAGGAGATTTATCCTTTAAGGGTCATTGAAAACTAGTTAATGGAATAAATTGCCCCATACGAACTTAATTTTTGTTCATTATTATATCTACACAGTTTTTCGCATCTTTACCCGACACTACCCGATGATTTACATTACTCGCCCGGATGTATCCGAAGGTCTGACAAAGAAGAAACCGACAAAACTTTATAATTAAATAACAGTTTTTTGAAAAAATTTAAAATTCAGAATAAACAGAGGTCGTTATAAAGGAGCTTGTTTAATGATAGACAACCGCATTTTTGTTTTTTATTGGACAAATTAATTTCGTCAAGAGTTTTGTCAATCGTCAGTAGTTACGTCAATCGCCAGTAGTTACGTCATATCGTCAAGTTTCGTCAGACGAAACCATTGACGAAACCATTTCGTCAGCCCAAAATAGTTTCGTCAGACATCATTAGTACGTACTGTACGTACTGTACGCTAAAATTTTTGCCGATCACTTGTTCCAGCCAATCAGATGCCTGAAAAAGAACTATACGTACAGTACGTACTGTATGCTAAAATTTTTCAGGCATCATATAAATGGCACATTACTAGTTACACTCTCTACAATCACCCATTTTTGTATTCCAGGTGAGTGATTGTAGAGAGGTTTGACTGTATATTAATTTTCGAAGTGAAAGTACATTTGGTTAATTGAATTTCTCTATATTAAATTTATTAATATAAGGTTTATTCGTTATATTAATCAATATATATAACTTATCAATATATAAGATTTCTATATTGATTTAATATAACGTAAATGCTATCGCTCTTCGATCTGTATTAACTTGGACTATCAAAAGGGTCGGAAATGGTCGGAGATCACGTTACCGCGGCATTTTTCTGCCATGATTAACTCACCTAATAAATGCGATAACGATAACGATCTACAATTAGGCTGCGGCTTATACATGTGAAGCCAACTGCGGCCAAAATTAAAATTTCCGGAGATCGAAATTTCCCGGGTTACAATGCAGAAAATTATCGACCCTGCCTATATTATGTTAAAAACTATTTATATAATGACCTCTATTTATCTTAATGCTGCACCATTTATAAATACAGGCATAGGGAATAATAATTCATATTCAAAACATATATTAAAGAAAATTTTAAACACACTTTATTCTTTTGCTATGTAATATAAAATTCTATAATATATAAAATTTCATAGTTTGCTAACATAGTTTTTGATTAATTAGACTGGGTGATACATTACAATTTTGGGTACTATTAATTGTAATTTAATTATTAATAAATTGGTTATAAACACATTTTTTAATCTGTTAAGTTTATAGGATTATTTAGGGTTTATAATGTTTAAGGAGTTTTTTAGATGAACGGAGTTTCTTTTCATGTCCTTTCTCTTCATGTCCTTTCTTTTCATGTCCTTTCTCTTCATGTCCTTTCTTTTCATGTCCTTTCTTTTCATGTCCTTTCTTTTCATGTCCTTTCTTTTCATGCCCTTCCTTTTCACATTTCTTTGTTTCAGTGGGATATACAGGAATTGAGGTGGCTACAGGACTGGAAAAAATATCAACTGTAGTAGGTAGATATGGATCAGGAGCCTTAAGAATGACTATAAAAAAAAATTAGATAAATTTATTATGACAAGATGATTACACAAATTGATCAAGTACTAGAAGGACCCCAAATAATTATAACAGATGTTATATTCGAGTCATTGGCAGTTTTTCTGCAATTTGATTGTATATGATATTTTTTAGCCAATCAAATTGCTTAACTCTGCAAAATTTTGACCTCTGTTGGCTATTTTTCAAATATGTCCTCCATTAGTATTGTTTGGGGTCCTGTACTATAGGTGGCAATCATTCCAATGAAATGACAAAATAGCACTTACCATTACGAGAATCGGCTGGAGGAATATAGGTGAAGATAGCCAAAATGGCAAAACAAATGAAAGTAATTAAAATTTTCATTTTTTTGGTATTAATTGGGAAGGATTAAAAAGTAAAAAGGTAAAGTATTGTATGAATATGGTTTGGGAAAATGGTGGAAATTTTTACTTATTTATAAAAATCAATACATATAATGAATATAATTCATCCGAATGAGCACTATGACAAACTATACAATATGTAGTATCACATATGATATTTAATTACGTACTACACACAAACTAGCGCTATGTTAGGGATAAATGTTTGTCAGAATCCTGATAAACAAAATGCCTGGATTTTGACCCAAACCTCGTATTATAATTCCATAAAGTTGTGAACATTGATAATTTTAGTAATTCCACAATAAAAAATTTAACAATGTATTGATATTTAAAAGTAAGCTATCAAAAAAGTTCTCAAGAGAAAATCATGGATTCTTTATTTTCGGATATTTCACCTCAAGGTCAAAAGTAATAGTTATATTCTGGGTAACTGAGTATAAACGGAAATGAATTTTCTGCTTATGCAAATACGTAGTCCCAGGACATAATTGATTTATATCCTGCAATCTTAATTAGTGATCAGGGCATATACTGTACGTACGTAGAGTTAAATTATGTGCATATCGCATGTCAGACATCAGACATACGTACGTACGTAGTGTTAAATTATGTGTATATCGCATGTCAGACATCAGACGTACGTACGTACGTACGTAGTGTTAAATTATGTGCATATCGCATGTCAGACATCAGACGTACGTACGTACGTAGTGTTAAATTTTGTGCATATCGCATGTCAGACATCAGACGTACGTACGTACGTACGGGCTTTACTTTTTTGTGCCAGTAATACAAACCCCTAAAAAGGAATCGGCCAATCAGAGAACACAAATTTTGGACATTCCGGATCAGCCCGGAATAGAATCCGAATCATCCCGACGAAGCAAAACAAACGAAAAAAAGAGAGAAATAAAGAAAATACAAGAAACGGTAATCCAATTCTACTTTTGTGCATTAACAAAAAATGTCGGGGAGGTAATTTTACCTATAGCACTCTCTAACCCTAACCCTAACCCTAATATTTAATAAATTTCAAATTTATTCCGTTTCCTTTTTCGGTTTGTATTACCGGCACAAATAAGTAAAGCTCGTACGTACAGTACGTACGTACGTACGTAGTGTTAAATTATGTGCATATCGTATATCAGATAAAACGAAAATGGTGATATCGCATATCAATAAACGAAATTGTTGATATTTATAAGTGTTATTCTTAATTAGAAAATTTATATCAATACATTTCTTGGCACATATACACAACATAATAAGGATCGATTAAATTATTATTTTAAATATAATAAACAGATATTTTGAATATAATAATTCAAAATCCTTGTATACAATCTATATCATTTACATTAAACAAGAAATTTATTATTATTGTTTTTTTTTTTAAAAAAAAAAGAATGAGTTCAAAACAAAATTATAGCACAATTTTATTATCATTTTTACTTTGCTTGTTTTATGCATCGGATTCAATTTTTGTGAGCATAGCAAATTTAAAAGATGAAACTAAACCTAATTCGATGAAGTTATTATTTTTGACAGAATTTATAAAAATTAATGGTAATAATTGAAATTTAATCCAGTGATTTAATTCGATAATTTAATAAATTTAACATATTTGTTTTAAAAAAAATTTAAGTGTCAATGGTATTATTAGCATTCGAACTAAGACATTTTAGTATTCCTTTCAATCTTGAATTTATGAAACCTAAATCTCACTCATTGACTCTCTTCATAAAATTTTCTCCTTTTATTCGATCTTTAAAATCTATTTTTACACCTACAACCTTTCTTTTTAGTATTCCTGCTTTAGCATATTTTGTAAATAACAACATTTCTTTTTTAATCCTTAGTATAATGAATCCACCTACCTTTATGGTCCTTGGAAATCTTAAAATTATAACTACAGGACTTTTCTATAATATATTTTTAGATAAGAAATTAAATAGAATTCAATGGATTGCTTTATTGATGCTATTTCTTGGATCAATAATATCCCAAATTCGCTTTTCAAATGGAGGTAAACCTGAGATCATAACAAGTCTATTTGGATTTTTATTAATAGTAATTTTTAGTTGCATTTCTGCAATGGCTAGTGTATATACAGAATATATAATGAGTAATATATTTAAAAATGAAAGTATTCATTTACAAAATATTAAATTATATCTTTTTGGAAGTTTATTTAACGGGTTAATGTATTACTTTTCTACATTTTCTTCATTTTCTTCATTTAACAAAAAATCAGTAAGCAATTATGATGGATTTTTTTCATCTTTATTCCCAATTCATTATTTAATAATATTTTCTGCTTGTTCAATGGGATTAATCACATCAGCGATTATAAGATATAGTGGGAGTATAACAAAAATATATTCTACTAGTATGGCAATGTTTCTTAGTAGTTTTATGAGTTGGATTATTTTAGATAATTATAAACCAAATATTTTGTTTTTTGTTGGAGCTTTGTTATGTTGTTTTTCTTTACAAATGTATAATAATAGTAAAATCGAAAATTATGAAAAGTAATAAAACCTGAAAAAGATTTTTTATTAATTATATAAAACTTTTTAATTAATTTAATGGTGTAAATTTCGTTTCTAAAATATAAATTCATTTCTAAAATATAAATTCATTTCTAAAATATTAATTTGTTTCTAAAATACTAATTCGTTTATAAAATATTAGAGTTTTTATTCACAATAATTTTAAATATGAAATATCCAATTAAGAAAAATAATTCTAATCATATTTTATATATTTTATACATTTTATTAGAATATCAAATAATGTTTATTCGTATATTATAAAATTAATTTGTGCAAAAACAAAAATTTCTCACAATCTTTTCATTATCATCTTCTGCTTTATCTGCAAGTTCCCCCAAAACATTTCTTAATCTTGGACGACACTTATCCCATTCCTCCATAAACAAAGTATCTTGTGATATATCAAAAAAATCAGTAGACCATACTGGATCATGATGTGTGCTTATTGTTAATAGAGAATCATACTCTTTTACTTTAACAGTAACTCTATACATTTTAGATGAGAACGATGCAATTCCACTTTTAAATGATATAGAAATATTACTACTATTGATAGTAGGTTCTAGGCTAAAAGTTTTGCATACTAAATTGTAATTATGTTCTATTAAAAAGTTATTGATAATTTTTATACCCTTAGAAATAACGGTATCTATAATTTTCTTGTGTTCATTATTATTATAGTCTAAGTTAGTAAAATTAGTGCATGGACAAAATTCTACAGGAATGTTTAACGATTCACATGTCCGTTGTTCATTCATTGGTATTAAGAATGAATTTCCATATATTTGCGCGTCTGTTTTAATTTTGTGAGAATTTTGGTTATTGATTTTTGGAAATGAAGAATTAGTAAGGAAATTGTTTATAAATTGATTATATTCAATATAATCATTGAGGTTCGAGGTTAACACTTTTGGCATGTATTTATCACCAAAACCTCCATAAGCAAGATGTAAAAGAGTTTGGTGAAGATCCATATGCGTTGATAAAATATATTTATTAAATTCAAGAGACGCTTCAAAATTCGGATGAGATTTCAAAAGTTGAGTAGGAAATAATACCATCATGGTAGGTTGTTTGTGATGAATGTAGCCTTCATAAAATGAATATTCATCACCATAATGAATTCCATGATCACTATGAAAAATTATAACACTACAAGAAAATCAAATTGTTTAATGCTTATACGTAATACATTAGATATGGTTTAATAATTTTTATTTAATACTATTTACCTATTTTTAGATAACAAAGGCTTTTCACCAGTCATTTTATTTCCAACAATCATCTTGTTAAGTAAATTTAATAAGTCATCTTCGAATGCTGTGTGCCAATGCCCATTAACATGAGTATCCAAGAAAGTTGCACTTATGAAACGTTTTTTTTCAGAGTATGTCTTAAGGAATTCTTCAACCCAATCCAGTGTATGTTGTGATATTGTCTTGTGCTGATTAAAGACATGTTAAATGAAAGAAAAAATAAATGAATAAATAAATAAATAAAAAAGCCATTGAATATGCGTGATACTTACGCCCATACAATATGGTCCTGGTCCAAACGTGAAACCTTGCATAAATATAGTTTCATTTGTGCCATTTAGGAATTGACACGAAGTCCCAAAATTCTTCAACATGGAAATATTATCACAGATAGAATCCGTTGGAAAATAGTGAAATCCTGGCTGTATACGTTTATATCCATCTCGTAACTTTTCTTGCATGTAAAAATATGTAGCATCTCCAGGATCCCAATTTAAAGGATCCACGAATCCTCCACATGACCCATCAGTATGACCAGTAATAAATCCTTGCTCTTCAAATGCATCCCAGATCCAATTCCCGTATTGTTTAGACTCTAATTTTTGTTTACTTTGACCAGAATAAATGAATGGTTTATTTGTTACAGAATTAAAATCTAAGACATTATATCTTTCCATTGAAAACCATTTATGCGTTCCACCGGTATATTTTTCTGCATTTTGAAAAAAATTCATTAGGTGAACAAATTCCTGTTTAAACTTTTCTCTTGCTTCACCATCAAGAAGAATAGTTACTACGTCGTCAACAAGAGATTGAGAATGTATTGGATCTGAAAAAATTCAGTTTAATTATTTGCTTAAGTGTTTTGAATAAAACATTCAAATCTAAATATAAATATATATCAATTATATTATTTATACTCACATTCGAGTTTTTCATTGTATTTAGCATCTACTTTCTTGATCTCTTTTCTTATCATGCTAGCATTAGATTTGTCATTGCATTGAAGAAATACATAATTCTCACTTATTTCAAGTAATCCATCTTTATTCTGATTCCATGTGGCCCAGTTTGGTCCCATCGTCTTAAAGTGATATTTAAAGGTTGATTCATTGGGACATCCTGTAACGTTCACATATTGTGTATTTGTTCTCTCATCATATACTATGTGACCTATCCCAGGACCTGAAAAGTTGCAAAGTTATATAATTTATTTATGACACTATAAATATAATTTTTTTTTTACTTTAAAAAAATATATTTATATATTAACCTCGTCGAATATCAATGAATATTTTATAATCAGATAATAGATATGGCAATTCTGGTAACTTGCAAGTATCTTTTCGTTCTAAAACCAATTGCTTTACGAAAAAATGGTTTTTTATATAGATATGAAGATTAAATATTAGAATACAAAGTAAAACTAAAGTAATTATATGTTTTATTTTACGATAACGGCAAAATAAGGCCATAATTAATAACGATAATAATTTTTTTTAGTAATCATTTGCACTTCTTAAATAATTAAGAAATAGTTTTTATCTGTAGTCGAGCAAAATTTTCAATTTTTAGTAGCATTTAACGTACGTACGCACGCACGCATGATGGGCTGATTAATGCATTTATCGTTACTTGAGCAATAAAATTTTAAAAGCACACAATTATGTTATTTTATATATGCAGTGCACTATAATTTATCTTACATGTATTGTTTACGTTACAAAAAATTTAAATGTGCGATGTAGGGTTGCTAGTTTAGAATCCAAAATAGTATATACTAGGTTTCACAAAATTCCTCGTAATGTTCTAAAAGCTTAATATATAATTTAAAGATCTCTGGATTTTTTTTAAAAAAAAAACAATAATCTCATAGTAATTTTTGCAAATACATTGCTATCTTAAAATAATTGTATCGATCCTTTAAAATATGAAATTTAAACATTCTGCGACTCTAATAATTTTTTCTACCATTTTTGGTCATCGCAAGATGTAAAAAATGGTGGAATCATTTTGATTCGAAGAATCGAGTGTATATATAGCATGTATATACATACATATATGTTTAGGATTTTGATTAAGAATGTTGTGTATGGTGCTACAATAATAATGTTTGTTTTGTCTCTCATCGAGGGCATATTGTTAAAATAATGAAAAACAATTATGGGTATGCAGTAGGGATGAATCGGTCCGTCCCAGTCAGTCCCAGTCCCTATTACAGCTATTATCATAATTCCTGGGACACCTGTAAAAGTTTGCCGAATGATTTTTCGGCCGATCCGGTTATATAATAAAATAAACTATTTTTGTATATATCATATAATGATCATTTTACATAACAATGTCAATTTTCGTTCGAATGCTTGTCCAAAAATGGTTGGTGTACTTTGTACGAAAATTTATGGAAAAAACCGGTCATGTCAACCAATAAATCTTAATGAGAAGGAAACGAATATAAATTAGACTTTTATAACAAATATATTACTCGAACAAGTGCCGCTATTAAAAAAGTTAAATATGATCGACTGGTTTAAAATTGAATCTTGGGTTAAATTCCAAGTGACCAAGATATTATTATTTGTCGAGAATGCATGAAGAATTATGATAAACAAATCCAAGTAAAAAATTTATATGTTTATATTTGTTTATATATTTTTTGTCTTTTACGAGAAATAAAAAATAATTAAAAATAAATAAATGATTTCGTTTGAACAAAAATAGATCTTACCAAAGAATAGGAATTGAAATTTAGGGTAATTTTTTTAGAAATGAATTTTTCATCTTCGACAAGAAATGAAAATAATTAAAATTAAATTAATGTTTTCGTTTGAATGAAAATGGATCATGCCAAAGAATAGGAATTGAAATTTTATACAATTTTTTAAAACTGAATTTTTGTAAAAAATAATTAGAAATGAATAAAGGCTTCGTTTAAGCAAAAATAGATCATTGTGAAAGGCGTGACTACCGGGTTTAGGGCTAGACTAACTGAACTATCCAACAAACTAACTAAACTATCTAACAAAAGCTTCCAAGGCTCCCAAAACCTTGAGTTGGGAGCAGAAAGAGGCGTGATGAGACTTGGTCAGAGTTTCAAGGTTCTGAAGCCTTGTTGCGGCACGACTGAATAGTTGGATAAGAATTTATCTTTACTTGTTATATCTTGTGATCCAATTGAGGGCTAAAGAAGACTCTTCTTCTTATATTAGCACAATGGGGCTTCGATATTCGACTTCAACGTTAAGATTCTTAACGATTGTCACGTGGTCACGTGGTTACGATAAAACAATGACAGGGATCGACTTTTGGTTAACAATGACGAAATTGATCAAAGTTTATTTGATTTTTAGTATATAGAGGGGTCTCTAATTAATAATCAACACTTTTCTCTCTTTACTTCTACGAAGCAAGAATATGGAACTTTACGACGATCACGGGGGCAAGAATAGGGAAAGCGATTTTATTATGAACGATTTAGAGAACCAACTTCTACTACCAAACTTTCGAAGTAAAGAACTCAACCGAGTTAGTTTTTATTAAAGGTAAATTTCAATCGCTTATATACTTTTTAATTACATATGAGAGAAATTCGGTAAACTAAATGACACATTTTCTATTTACTTTCTACTATTTCTTCGATTTTGACGATCGTTACTAATTTTAAATTTTACCCGTTTTACAATATTTACCAGGTTTCGAAATTTACAAAATTTACAAAATTTGAAAAATTTAACGGCTGTACTACGCTACCCGCACATCACTACCAGGAAGGGTAGTTTTGCCTTTCACATCATGTCAAAGAATAGGATTGAAATTTTACGACTTAAAGTATGCGGACTGTGCGCAGCACACAGAAACAAAATTTTGCGCACACTTTTTTGAATAGATGTGCGGATGCCGCACAGAAAAATTGGAATTTTGCAAGTAGTGGCATGTTTCTCGTGTTTCTTTTTTTATTTGCCGCACAGAAAGATCTATAAATTGTGCGGCATCCGCACAGTAAATTTTAAT